ATCTTTTAAGATAAGCTTGGGGAAAAGAGCAAATAGAATCATTGTCTTACAGGGTGTTCTGCAACAGAAGGTGCTGGTCCATTTTGATCCCCATAAGAAAGTCACTCAGACTCCGTAAGGTATTATTCATAATGCCATTTATGAGAATTAAAAGTATAAGAAAGAAAAATAGCACAGATAATCTTACATTCCCTTAGTTGCTGACAGCCCACATGCAACACGCAATGTAGACCCTGTCCAAAGAAGAGTTTCCTATTTTGAACATTTGAGCTACTATTGGATTTTCTTACAAAGAATCAATCCTTGTAAGATTAATGAGTCAATCTATCATTTCTACAGTCAAACAGGAGCGATGGTCACAGGAGACCTTCTCACTGTCCTTTTAGCTGAAGGCAAGGCTGCATTGATAGTGCACTCACGTCCAGCTGGGCTCATCCTCTGGCCAGGGTTTGTGCCACACCACACAGAACCAAGGGTGCTCTGGATGGACAGTGTGGACACACTTGGCCTGGACATTCTTGGGGTTAACTTTTGCTGCTCACTAACTCCTTGGCATGCAATAATATTCCAGATGGGATGAAAAAATACACAGGAGAAGGTGGAGTGTCTGTTGAAAAACTAAAGCTAGTGATAGAAATAGGAATACAAAATAAAATGCCTAAAAAATAAAAACTAAAGCATTCTGAGAGTTTATCCAGGTGGAAAAATTGATAATTATCAAAATATCACTTTTACAGATACTGTTTTGCAAAACAGGAACAATATCAAACTTCTTTTAACTTGCACAACTCTTTTGAACTGGGCTTTTTATTTTATTCCTAGAATAATGAATTGAGACTGCTTACTACAGAAAATCAAGCTATTTCACATGGAACAATCTGCCTTTAAAGGTTGATATAATCTTTAGGTTCAATTCAACAAAAGTGAACACATGTGTCTATCTTTAAACATGGGTCAAATAATCTATTAAACTTTTCCATTGTTGCCTTACTGCATTTATTACATCTGATTCTTATACAGATAATCAAATTGAGCTTTCATTCCAATCACTGAAACTTCAAATGTGTTTTGCTTTTCATACATTAAAAGCTTTGTTGACTGATATATCAGGTATATGAGATAATGTAAAGGAACAAGTGAAAGTAATGATTTTAAATCCAGTAAGGTCAATTTTAAAGGACAGGAGAGCAGTTCAAGTTAAGCAGCTTTGGACCACAGAGTGTTTAGCTTCTCTGTAAATTGATTTTAAGCACGTATCTCTTTTCTATATATTCTACATTTATTATTACCTTGTCTTCATAGTGGCTTGATCCTGGCTGGATGCCAGGAACCCACTGAAGCTTTTCCATCACTCCCTCTCCTCCACTGGGCGAGGCAGATAAATATAATGAAAGGCTCATGAGTTAAAGTCTGAGAGAGAGTACTCACCATACACTGTCATGGGCAAAACTGACTTTACTTGGGCAAATTAGTTGAATTTATTACCAATCAAAATTAGGGCAGAATAATGAAAAGTAAAACAAACCCTAAAAACATCTCCTCCTACCATCACATGCCCAATGCTTTACCTCCTTTATTCCCCGCCACCTCCCCACAAAGCACAGGGAGATGGGAAATGGGGTTTAAAATCAGTTCATCACATGGTTTCTGAAGCTTCTTCCTCCTCAAGGAGGAGCCATCCCCTTTCTCCAGTCCCTTATGGGAAACTGTCCTCCACAAACTTCTCCAACATTAGTCCATCCCATGGGACCGCACTTGTCACAGACTGCTCCAGCATGGATTCTGTTTTTTCCACAGACTGCAGGTGGATCTACCATGGACCTCCACAGGCTGCAGGGAAACAGCCTGACTTGCCATGGTCTGCAGAGGAATCTCCACTGCAGTTCCTGGAGCACCTCCCTGCCCCTTCCCCTTCCTCCTGGATCTTGATATCAGCAGAGTTGTTTCTCTCATGCATTCTCACTCCTCTCTTCTCTGGCCACAGTTTCACCTGTGCAGTAGTAGGTTTTCTTCCTAAATATTTTATCGCAGAGGCACGATGGTCTCTGCCATGGCCAGCAGCAGGTCCATCCTGGAGCCTGCTGACATTGGCAGGACATGGGGAAAGCTCACAGAAGCCACTCCTGTAGCCACCCAGCTCCACCAGAACCTTGCAATGCAAACCCAGCACAGTCTTGTAATTATCTATCAGAACTCCTCTGCTATTATTACTGGATCTGCACTGGCTTAAATTATATATTACCATTAATTATGCATATTATGACAGAATGTGACACCTTATTTTGCTGTAAGAATAGAATAAGGGTGAAGAACCAGTTCAAAAGTATTTAACGTGTAGTAAAGCACAGGAGATAAGCACTGATAGGTGAATTACAAGACTGTGTTGATAAGCTTTCAAAATCTCAGTAATTCAAAGCTACAAGTTAGGATACGTCTTCAGCTGTTGATGGATATCATAACAGCAGAAAACCTGCTACACTGCAATAGCACAGTCTTTTACAGATTATTAAAATTACCACATTTAGACATGCATATAATAGATTCATATTGCCCTTTTGAGTAGAACACCAAAGAGGAAATTATTCTATTTATTTGGAGAATTAATCAGTGCCACCAAAAATTCATTTGAACAAAAATAATATTCTGTTATAATGCTCTAGTGTGTGTTCAAAGTGTGTGGATGTTTAGTAGATGATTTTTAAAATATCAGTTTGCTTGTTAAAAACGCTATACAACAGAAAAAGCAAATTACTAATACAATATTTTCAAATTAGTGAAAGGCTGATTCAACTTTTCTTTCTGTTCTACTCTGAGCAGTTGGCAAGAAAAAGCCCACACTTTTCAGCAATTTGTCTCCACAGAAACTATTGGTTTATAATACCATTTAATGCAAAAGCAAAGTTTCTTCAGGGTACCACAGCACATTCTATTTGCTCACTCTGCAGAGAAAACTTTGTATTACCTATATTTTTACATTTCTCTTCTATAGCACATGGTAGGAAACAAAAATCACAATTTCATACACCATATATAATAGAAGATACTGTACAAGCAAAATACACATAAGTTCATTGTTGCAGTGTTCCTGATACAAAACATGAGTAGGCCTATTGAAGGCAATCTATAAACTCAGGAAATTAAAATCTAGCTTTGTAGTAATTCCTTACACCACTAATTCATGACAGCTAAATCCTTTATGCAGTCACCTTTCTCAAATTAATTGCACTACAAATTACAGAGGAAAAACAAGATTATTTCACAAGGATATTAGTATTCTGAGACTTCAGAAAATTTAAATACTTAGCTTGATATGACATACTAGTGACAGAATAATTATTTTCCATTAATATTTTCTGAAATTTCAACTCAAATTACAATTTAGCAACATTTGTTATCGACACAATAAAAATCTGAGTGACTTGTGAAAACAAAATATCAGCATACAAATAACACTCTGTCCTTGTATTTTGTGTTTTATAACATTTTAATTTGTAAATGTTCCTAAACAAATTGAAATATTCATCTGTTTTATAAAGCAAGCTCTGTTCTGAATAAGATTGATAGCAAAAGTACCAACAGAAACTTTCTCTTGTTACTGAGATATATATATTCATTGCATTTTGTAGACTTCATTAAAATTTATTGCCTGGAATAAACTGGATTATCCAGAGTGTTCACATTTAAATTGAGTATTTTTGATCCACACTAAAGTCAGTGAGGATGAGTGGTGTACTTATTCAGTGCAACCACAGATTAAGCAAATATTAACAATGAAGTGCTGTTAACAAGAGCAAAGAGGAACAGAATTGCTGAAGTCAATTACATCCACATTTCCAGTGGTGAGACTCTGGACCAGGACTCCCAGGTAAATTGTGGATGTAATCGTGGAGGTGTTTAAGGTCAGGCTGGATGGGACTCTGAGAAACCTGATCTAGTGGAACGTGTCCTTTCCCACAGGAGGGGAGGCTGGAACTACATGACCTTCAAGGTCCCCTTCCAGCCCAAACCATTTTATGATTCTGTGATTTTCTGAATTGAAAAGCAATTGTTTTGTTGTTTGAGTTCAAAATACGCACTTTTATACCACCCATGTCAATTTTGTAATTTTAATTTTCTTTCTAGTTCAACTTTAAGGAATTTGAATTTTGGCCATTAAATCTGTAAACACTTTGAATGCTACAAAGAAAGTTCTACAGTACTAGTATCTTCTACTATGAAAGTAATTATAAACTAAAGTCATCTTAACCTTCTTGCCTTTTCACTGTGTAATTAAAAATTGAGAGCTAGTCCACAGACCAAATCTCTGGTTCCACAATGTAAAGAGAAAAGTTTCTTATTGTATATAAATAATTTAAAACATTTTTTCCTAATATAGCCGTTGAATAGACAGTCCTTTGTGTCTGCTCAAGACTCTATCACATAACTGGAACCAACTCCTGACTGCAGACTGAAAATCAAACAGATCATTAAATAATTGATCCTTAAGAAACACTTACTTAAGACACACTAAAGACATTGAACAAAATGTCAATAAAATTTATCAAAGTTAAATGTCTTCATGTTCTTCTCACTTCTCAAACATACAATCCAGAGCACATGAATTTGATATACAAGTGAAATCATTATCTTTGTATGGCTATTATGATCTTGCTGCCAATCACTAGCACTGCTACCAACCTCTTAAAATATGTATACTTGTACATTCTTACTCTTTCAAATTTTATTTTAATAAATTAGTATTTTTAAGAAATGCAAATTTAATAAGTAGTAATTGAATGCTAAAACTATCTCAAAGTTCATTTTAAGCTACAATGCTTAAAATTACAGTCAAGTAAGAAAAGTAATAGCAGTCTTTTTTTTTTTTTTTTTTTTCCTCAGGCAATGAACTTTCAATTGTTTAGGCAAATATTTTCTGCAGAAAGCCCTTACCCAGCATCATGGTTTGATTCCTTGGAAACAAGGTGCTTCGAGTCATCTCTGTAAATCCACTTCTGGAAAAATATGCAGGATCCACTTCCTCACCACCTGGCTGTGGTCTCTGTAGGCAACCTTGCAGTTGCACTGTAACATTTTAAACATGTTAGAATTCAAGGGTAAGGGCAGGTTGTTGTAGGCACACAGTTTGTGGTACCTGGGAGCAGGGCTGAGCCCCATCCCCAGTGGGCACAGCTGTGAGCAGCAGGTGAGCAGCACTGGCAGCAATGAGCCATGGAGGGCCCGGGCACTGCCCAACCACCCAAGGGAGCAGAGGGCACACAGGGGCAGTGCATCAGCATGAGGGGATAAAAGGCTGGGCATGCCTGGATAAATCAGAATTAATTGAAGATGATGAATTGTCTAGTATCATGTTCATTAACACTTTGATCACCATTCATAACTACAGCCATGTTTGCTGAAATTTAAAAGCCAGTTAGTGTGACCTAAATTAAAAAGAAAACATTATATGTGAGAAGCTCCTGAGTGAAAGCCGATAGCTTATTAGTATCCTTTACAATTCCAAGATATTCTAAAAGCTTCAATGCTAATAATGAATTGATGATAATACACAGCAGCATGTACATTATTAATAGTTATCTATGTATTAATAGAAGCACAGCCAGGCTTGTCTGAAACTACACTTCAAGGACTGCTCCTTAATGTTATATCTGAGGAACAGGTTTGTGAAGATAAACGTGACATTGATTATTCATTTAAGAATTGACAATAGGGAAAATCTTATTCCTTTTAGGTATATTTAACCTTGTGTAATGGTAGTATAGATCCTTCAAAATCTCAAAGATCGTCCTTGTGACCAAAAGTACTCAGGCAGCAAGCTTCTCTAAAAATTTCAGTTATGTCAGCTGTGGAGGTTATCTTTAAACTCTTGTACTCTGAGGAATCACCTTGGGATTTCAAAGGAATGAACTTTTCCTAGTTCAACATATTGGGAACAGTAAAGTGGTAATTTTTGCTGCTGCTATCAAATTATTCAGACTAATCACTTTAGGTTGAAAGTGAAAGGTTGCAGTGATAACACTTAATGACTGACAAAGTGACAGATTATATGATGACAAATACAAAGGAACACTGCTTCCTGGTGGTGCAGACATTTTGTGATAGGCTCGTTTGATTAAATAGACTTACAATTTAACCTTCCACCTTTAATTTAGTTTCCTATTTCCTGTCAAAGGTTGTCCTCGTTTGTAAAATAAGCTTGTATTCTATTTGCCATCTGTTGGAGGTTGGGCAGGTTTGTTATCTCTTCCAAGAACAATAGTTTGCTCTGAAGAGGTAATGGTTTGTTAATGGGCCATTGACTGACTCAATGCAGGGCTCGAAACGTTACACCATCCCATTGTGAGATGCTCCACCCAGAGGGGGAAGCCAAGCACTCTTTTATGGTATAAAGGGGTAGCTTTTGGGGAGACAGAGCAGCTCTCTCTCTTTGCGGGATTCCCAGAGAAGTGGCCGGAGCGCGCTGAGGCGACGGCGGCGGAGCTTGGAGACGGCCCCGGCGCAGAGGAAGACCGGCCCCACTGCCACCAGATCTTCAGAGAAAACTATACCTTCTAAATATCACCACTTCAGCTGCAATTCATCAGCCACTGCAAGAGGAGCAGCTGTCATTTCAACTGGACTGCTACCAACACCCCGACTCCTCAGGGTGTCAGGTTGTGGACTTTATCACTAGCTTTGTTTGTACCAATTGCATTTGCCTTTTTAAATTGTTATTTAGTTTCTCCTAGTAAAGAATTGTTACTCCCATTCCCATATCTTTGCCTGAGAGCCTTTTAATTTAAAAATCCTGGTAATTCGGAGGGAGGGGGTTTACCTTCTCCATTGCACAGGAGGCTTTTGCCCTCCTTCACAGACTCCTGTCTTGTCAAACCAAGACAAAGGTGGTGTCCATGCTATCTTAAAGCAGGTCTTGAAAATTCACATTTTTCTCTGTTGAAAAAAAAAAGAAAAAGAAGAGATTAGAATAAAACTCTGAACCTCAAGACTGGTTCAGAAAGCACCAAACTGCATTACTAAAATTTTATACCATCCCCTTGGGCCAGATACACTGGAGGTTACTGATGCTTGTAGCTATACTGCAGTACAAACACATTGCATTATAAACACTTTAAACTCACGTTGTCTAAAAACAATTTTTTTCACTGAATACTTTAATCTATAATTTTAATAAAATGTGTTGAATTTCACTGAAAACTTTCACTACTGCTGTTCTAAATTGAGTTAGGGAAAATATCAATGCCCTTTCACCACCTATTAAAGCATTTAAGATATTTACATTGATTCAGGAGTTGCTATAGATCAATAAAGTGTTTCTTTGGGAAACAGGCAACCACAAACTCTCAACATAATTTTTCCTTTTTTTTTCCTTATGTTTCCAGTGCACATTCAATACCTGTGCAACACCCTGGTTAATGAAAACTGACTGTAGGTCTAATGAACCAATCATAATGAAAAGTTTTCCAAATTCAGAGACTTTTCACAGGTCTTGAATCCCTGTAGTCACAGGTATCAGCCTGTTGTGTCGTTGTTTCTTCAAAACATGAGCAAAATACAGGACAATACATTGCATTTGGTGACTCAATTGCCATCAACAGGACTCAGGACAAGCCTTCTGTCAGCACTTACAGAGCTGTCTGCCTATCAGCTAAACCCCTTCTCTCAAAAGCTGGTAATATCCCTGGTTGCAAAGAGGGACATCTCTGCAGACATGGCAAAAATCAGTAATGACTGGGTCGGCGCCACAAGTCTCCAGTGCCTACAGTTCTGACCCCTATTATTTTCCTGGATTGATTAATTTTTCCACTCTTCCAGGTAACAAAATGAATATTTAAACAATTTTAAAGCACCATATATATGCTAATTATTGGGGAAATGAAACTGATAACATCAGGGAAAAAAGGAGGCCTAGAGAAAAAAAGTAGTAAAAAATTTAAATATGTCTTACAGATGAGTGCTGAAAAGGACAAGGGAAAAACATGTCTAAGTGTGATGAAGAAAAATTAAAGGGAAAGAACAAAAAAAATTGTCATGAAGCATACATACAGAAAGAATGTGAGAACAGAAATGCACAAAAGAGTAAAAGGTGGTCAGAGAGTAGAAAATTTTAATTTCTAATTCCATTGTCACAAGCAGTTGTAGATGTGAAAAGTTTAAAAGAGTCAAAAAAGCCAAAGGTTGCATTCTTGGAAGAAAAAAATAATTTTAAGGACTAGTAGATATGAAGGATTAATTCCTGTTTTTCAATGTCTGAACTTTAAAGTGCTGGAGAAATGCAGGAGAATTTTCTGGGGAGCTGCTAGTTGCAATTACTATATTCTTACCCTTTCTTTATGCTCTCCTGGCTATGCAATAAGCAAGCAATGAAACCACTGCCATCACTCCAGACAATTAATTAATCCTAAACATAACAGAAATAGCTAAACGTTCTTAATAGTACTGGAGTTCAGCTCCTAATCAGCAGCAAAACTGGAAGATAATTATAATATATTTTGCCCACTAAGATGCAACAAATCTTATAGAGAATCAGCTTATATATTTTAAGTTCTATAATGCAGCTGATTTAAATGTTTCATGTAAAGAGTTTTCAATATTTCCTTTAAAAAACATTGATTTAACAATATCTAAATCTTTCAGGTAGAAATAACTGATTTTGTGAACATTTCTACTAAATATATCCAAGTTATCTGGTTTAGCAAGTTTGAAATCTATTTCAACTGCATTGTTTGACTTTTATTATGTAATTTTTACAAGAAATAAAAGTGCTTGGAGTTCATCATGAGAAGTAAAATTAATGTGAAGCAAAGAAGCTGCAAGAACCCCCAGGTTAATAACCCATCACCTTCTCTCCTTGCATTGTATTAGCATTTGACCTGACATTTTATTCAGTAGTAGTCAACTCATAAATGAAACTATCAGGTTTTGCAGATATTATTACAAACTATTTCTGGTTGCATCTTCGGATTTTATTTTACTATAATTAAATACATGGGGTTGTTTTTCCATAGGGTACTTCTGCGCCTGTTTTTCGCATGGGGCAGAAGAGAATGTGATCTGCATGCCTGTTCAATCTACAGGGCTACATGAAGAAGAACAATTCTGGGTTAAAAAAAAGAAGACAAAAAAATACAAAGGGCTTATTGATACCCTAAATCAAGAAAGCAACTGTAGCTCTGGAAACCTCAGAAGCCAATGCCTTATTCTGAAGTCATGCCCAACCATATATCCTTCCATAATTACCATGGACATAAGAAGAGATAAGCTTCAGCTCATATGCAAACCTAAATTCATATCATATAGAGCTAGGGATAATATTATACAGTCTTTGAATATCCAAGATGCAAATTTGAGCCCATATTTTTTTTAATATTTACTTTTCAGCAATATAGAGGTTCATAAATTATCTTTTAGAGAAGAACATATCATTTTAGCTCATATTTAATTCTGCCATCTTGAAATTTATGTCCCACTGAAAAGGAACACTGCAATGCAACAGATCTGCCCGAAATACGTCATGGATCATGCTTTATTCAAAATTACCCCTGATGGTAAATAAGATGTTTACACAGCATTCTGCAAACTATTTGTACATTGGAAAAAAGAAGTCATTGGGAAAGCGGAAAAACAAATCCACTGAGATTCCTGTAATTGAACAGAAGAGGGAAGTAGAGGGCCAACGTCAGTACAGTTCCAGCTATTGAACTTCATCAGGGCTATTTTCCAATTACACTAATGAGTCAAAATATCTGGAAATTAGTGACAGTTTCTGTGCAGCAAAATAATACTGAAGTGAATTTGAATGAGCTAGATGACAGCAGAGAATGGAACAAATGTTTTAAAAGATCATAGTAGTTTCCCCTGCTTATCCATCAGATATCCAAGAGAACAGTCAAGTAAGAATGATTTCATGTTTAAAGTAGGGTTGTGATTGCCATCAAGAAGCTGAAGACAATCAGCAAATGTTAATCTAGAACCTAGATAGATACTATCTAGAACATGATTAAAATCCTAAAACAGAAGCTCTAAGTGTTTTATAAAGACATCCATTTGACAATTCATTACCTCATAATCAGTGTGGAGGAGAAATAGCTTGGTGTGTGCATCTGTGTGCCAAAGACTGCATAACTACATCCTCAGTGCTGGTTCCTTTCTGATCAGGTTTTCAATCTTGAGTATAAGAGGAAAATCAGAGCAGCAAGGGTGAGAAAGACAATCACCATGTCAGTATGGTGGGCATTGCCTTAAACTGCCTAATAATTATCTAGTTTTGAAAAATATCTATGAACTATTTACAGACTACCAATTCAGCAATGAAAGAAAGTGCCTCTTTGAAAACAAGAATGGTAGCTGAAAGCTAATGGTAACAGTTCTAAGGCTGATCCTTTCAGACACCACATTGCAGAAACTGCATAGAATAACATACCTTTGCCTTCTGTTAGGGATGTCCAAGTGACAGAACATGTTTTCAAAAGGGAAAGCAGACAACAGCTCATTAGAATGTTTTCAGGTAATTTTTTGAGTTCTTCCTAGAAGCCTTGCTTTTTTATTAAAACCTACCAAATTGCAAAAATTATTTTTACCAAATATTTTTCAACTCAGTATTTCTTTTTCACTTACTTGTCTTCAGTGACTTTTCTGGAGTGTGAAAATAAAGCTGACATTCCATTTCATTCATGTTTTAGGATTAAATGAATATACATAATTTTTGACCCAGTGCATATGCACTTTTTGGACCATTTTACAGAGTTTCACAGCATGAAAAGATGTAGACTGTGGAAACAGAGCTGTCAGCCTAATTTGAGAAACAGCAACAACAGCAGAAAAATAACAAAGCCAACTAACCCTTTAGTCCAAGGAGTGAAACTACAGTAGTAGCAAATTCAATCCCTGCTGTGAGGGGACATTTCTTGTGTATTTCTTTCTTGACTCTTTCCTATAAGTGATTTTTTTTATACAGGGGAGTTATTCCTTACTTCATTTACAAAGAAAATAAAGTCAATAGAACTGAACCAGCAGCCTGAAAATATACTACTAGGTTTCCTTAAAAATTCTTATTTAATCACTTCTCCATATCAACACTGACTTTGTAATTGAATGTGTAGGTTTTGGAATTTCTGCCTTGAGTTCTTTCTACTTCTCTTGAAATTATCCTTCTGATTTTTGCATAACAGTCACTCTTAACGAAGGTACACTGCCAGTTCAAAAGCAACGGACGGAATATTAAATTTCACTGTCCTGTGATTGCACAGACCAATGAATCTCCCATTCCTGAACATGGAGTGCAAAAGACTGCCCATTTTGATCATTCAGTGGGAATTTTGTGTAATACTGAATCAAATCAATATCTTGCATACTATTCTTTGCATACTGATAATATGTACAACCCCTATACGTATATACCTGTGAGCTTTTGAAACAGAAAGCATTTGAGCTGAAATATAAGTTACCTGGGTCACAACTGTCATTTCCAAAGAGTTCTCTGAGTTCAGTGGGAATTTTGTGTAATACTGAATCAAATCAATATCTTGCATACTATTCTTTGCATACTGATAATATGTACAACCCCTATACGTATATACCTGTGAGCTTTTGAAACAGAAAGCATTTGAGCTGAAATATAAGTTACCTGGGTCACAACTGTCATTTCCAAAGAGTTCTCTGAGGCCCTTTATCGGATCTTCATTTTACATCTTTGAAAGGGACAGCAGTCATTCTAACAGTTACATTTCATATGAAAATTAATGTATTTTCCTAATATATTAAATCTGTGATAACAATACAGTTCTTGCTATTAATGGTGAAAATTATTCTGTTTTTCTCTCCCATACCTTTGTTTAAACGTTCTACGGGACCAGAAAATTCTTTTCCAGGAAGTGCCAAAAAATCATCGTGGTATCTCAATATTCTTAAATCTTTAAGACAAAAGGTGTGAG